AAACGTCGCTTGTCCGCTAGTTCGTCATAGTATTAAATGTATTACGTACTTACTCAGAAAATAAGTACTTAACAAACAATAATGATCAGAAAATGACTGAAAAAGAGATATTAAAACAAATTTACGATCGCCTTTGTGTAGTAAATGTAATAATATGACAAAACCTTATCTGTGTTAAGAACGTGCTAAATGACTTATCTCATATTTACTTTAACCATTTTCCTTGAGTAGTATTGCGATTTATTAAAGATTAGTTAGTTATAGCTATTAACGGGTTTGTTACCATGTACCTTGTTTTTGATGAGTCTCCGATATTAAATCTCATAAAAAACAAGGATGGTAACAATCCCGTTAATAGCTATAATGTTAATGACCATGAAAGTTTAAAACAATATATTAGTTAGTTGTCGAATGGAAAAAAAAAGAATTTAATCCGTTCGGCATTCCAAAAAAGATAGGTTTGCTTGCTTGCTTAACAAACAAAAACTGAATTTGTGTGGTTTTTTGAAACCTCGATGCAACTGAAACTTTAAGTTATCTATATATTGTTTTAAACTTTCATGGTCACTAACATTATAGATATTAACGGGATTGTTACCATGTACCTTGTTTTTTATGAGTCTCCGATATTGTGATCATGGCGCTTGCAACAGTGCCGAAATATCGGAGACTCATAAAAAACAAGGTACATGGTAACAATCCCGTTAATATCTATAAAATTTAAGTTATCGTACTTAAACTAACTCAAACTTCACTTTTAGTGTTTATTTTACTGCAGCAATCAGAACTGTGAGCCATAACTGCCAATTGTAACCTCAGTCAACACATGGGCCGAGCCTAGCTCCCTTAATACAAGTTAAATAAATAAATATAAATATATCCAACACTAACACCAATTAGCCTAGCCCCAAAGTAAGCACTGTAAGGCTTGTGTTATAGGATACTAGGGTAACGGATAGAATACATATACTGTACATGTATAAGTATATTTTATATAGGAATGCATATTAAACATCCTTGACTGGAGTACAAATGCTCGTATTCATCACACAAACATCTGCCCCACCAGGTTTTTTTTTTTTTTTTTTTTTTTTCCCCTAATTTCTTCAGACTTTTGTCCGAATCTTTTTATATCTGGTTTTGTTTTACTTTGCTATATTAATTTTGTTTTATTACTTAATTTTACTGATAACCCGGGACCTCTCGAGTCGGCGACACCATGAAACTTGGCGTACAAACCACTCGGCCACGGAGGTCGTAAAAGTTGTCTTGTCAACTTAGTAAGGTAGCTAGTGTTCCAACAATTGGATAGCAACCAAATGTACCTCACGATTGTAAAAATATTTATGATGCAAATAAATTATTATTATTACTTAGTTGACGTTACTCTGGCTTAAAAATAAAAAAAAAAACGCACACGACGACACGACATGCTAAAAAGGTAACTTCCCCGTATCTATACCATATTAGACATTATAATATCAAGCAAAAATCGTCATAACCAATTACGTCTGTTATATTGGAGCCCTTCAATATTTATTGAAGTTATACTTCTTTAGCCGCGTTATGAAAAAAATATGAGAGTGAAATTTTAAGATGCGCGCGCATCACTGTAACACAAAAGTAACATAATGAAGTTAGCCGCGGGCGCGTTATGAAAAAATGATGAGAGTGAAATTTTAAGATGCGCGCGCAACACTGTAACAGAAAAGTAACATGAAGTCGGCCGCTAAACCGCACATTACTCGTAAGTCTCGAAAAAAAGCTTCCAACAAAATAGTAATAGGATCTCTTAGTCGCACATGTTGGCACGCTCGTCGCCTCTGATCACTGTTTTCATATTTATAATATTTATCGACATGTTTCTAGTTTCTATATTCTTAACACGTGTTATAATGTTATACAAATGCGAAATTTATATGTGCTAATAAATTTTATTCAGTAGTGATTTAAATTGAATATTTTGATTATTTATTAAATTTTGCAAATTAAAACTGAACTTTATTGACTGCGTTGACTACCCTTTTCCAATCCTTTTATTATCTTATTGTAATTAATTATCTGCATGCAATTAAAAACTATTTTTTAATAATTCCAAAATGGAGTATAACTTCTCACGCGCGTACTTAAGTACACGCACCCATATTTATTTTAATTTGATTATTTATTTTCAAAGTGAATATACAAATAAATATTCTGTAAATATTTCTTAGCTTCTGTCTGTTGCCTTTATTAATATAGCGCACAATACGACAAATCATCTAGATTATCGTATGGGAATTTTCAATATTTATTTTATTCTTTTCATAATACCTATTTGTTGTTATACCGGCAACAGAAGTACACCATCCGTGAAAATTTCAACTTTCTATCTATCACGGCTCATGAGATTCAGCCTGGTGACCGATAGACGGACGTGGACTCTTAGTAATAGGGTCCCGTTGTTACCCTTTGAGCGCGGGAACCTCTAAAAACAAAATAATGTAAAAATGAAATAAAAGAGATCTCCATTAATTTTGTGTTATTTTATTGCTTGATCTACTCGTAGTTTATTAATATATCGTTCGCAGACTCTCATCCAGCCGGTATTCCCAAATGTTAATTGATAAACTCTCTAGAAAATACATACAATCGTAAAGATAAAGCAGAACGGAATATCCATGTACGTGTGTGGCAATTTAATAAGGGTTTTTTATAGAACTTTTGGTAACTGACATCACTCCTACGTAGGTAATGCACAAACCCATTCTGGAAAAGTTTCATTGATTACACAACAGTTCCGAATAAACACACCAAACTTAACTGTATAATGATCTGAATCTCTTTGGTTCCTTACTTAATATAGTACCCTTACTAATAGTCTCTAAGCAAAACCGGGGGCGGACAGATGGACACGACGAAACAGTAAGGGTTCCTTATCAGACTTACGGGACCCTAAAATCATGACTCAAGAGCGCATGTTTGATCTCATGCTATTAATATACATTTTGGAAAATTTCCACCGATTATAATGATGACCGCCGTGGCTCGTGGGGCATGTACGCCGCTTTTCAAGGTGTCGCCTTATCAGAGGTCCTGGGTTCGAATCCCGGTGGGGCAAATGTTTGTCAGATAATTTGCCCATCCTTGTTCTCGTCTTTCTCGTCTTGTAAGCGTCTATATAATATGTTAACCGCTGACTATAATCACAATTATATGCGTTATCACGCCTGGCTTGTTAACTTTATTTTTAATTGAAAAAAATATTGCCAGTGCAATCTGTGCAACTTACAGATTCTAAGCAGGATATTTTTATAAAAAATATTAATAAGTAGGTACGTTAAGTAAAGAGAGGAACTACCATATGCGGGCTACAACCGCAATATTGTAGCCAGGGTTGTCAAACGAAGTTTTTTAAATTAATCAAACTGATTTTGAGACGATGCGTTAACTTGAAACTGAGGTGCGGCCAGAGAATTTAGAGAGTCATACTAAAATCAGGTCTAAAATTGCCTTTTTTTAGAAAAAATCTTTTTTGTGATTTGAAATATTTGTGAATTACTTCTAGAGAAATTATATTTTGTTACTAATGTGTAAAAAATGTGAAAATACTGTCTCTTTCCACATAAAATTTGTCGATGGTTTTTGCTGCGAAATCTATATGCGAATAATGGCGTCGTTGTCTGGCTTGAATTGAAAATGGGAAAGGGCAGATCCGGACACTATTTAAAACTTACAATTCTATAAAAACTATTTGATCCAGATTAAACAGAAGAGACGGCCATCTTCGTGATTTTCAATTGAGAGCAACTTTGGCCTAAAAAGAAAAAATGTTTTTTTTAAGCCTAAGTTGTTTAAAATATTTTTAAATAAAATAAAAAAAAAACTTATTGACACCAATTTTAATACTTTGCAACGCACAATCATGATAATATTACTAAAGCTTATAATTAAAAATATAAATTTTAATAACTATGAATGTAAATGTATAATTTTAAATTATAGTCTATGAGTCTTCGTTACTTAAAATAAATAAATATATCCTCGCCGTAAAGCGGTAGAGCGAAAAGTCTCTACGTCAACTTTTTGCCAAAATTGAGTTAGAAATATCAACATTCTCCCCATTTTTGAACATAGTTCAACCTTACAGGCATGTCTATACGACTAATGGTTCTGATTTTAGATAGTGCGAGAAAAAACTAATTCTATTTTTGGTTTAAAATACATTATCTAAATCGGGTTAGTTAGTTCCCCATTGCAAATGAATCATATTAAATGGAACATACTTAATTTATTGCTAAAGCACCTAAAATAACTTGATTAGTTTTGGAATGACTGGTTATTCTTTTTAACAATGACCCAAACACAGACAAAAAGTCACTAACGTTATTTTCAACTCGATATTTTTCCAATTATTTCAGTGATTGTGTTGCAGCATGCCGCAACAGAGTTTTTAAAACATCTGTATTTCTTGGTTTTTAATTTACTCTTAATATTATTAGTATTTGTATATTATTCTTGTACATAATGTTAATTTTAGTTATTATATTATATTTTTAAGGTTTTTAGTTTAAGGTTCATTGTTCCTGTATATATTTTCTTTAATCCAAAAAAAAAAAAATTTACTCTTTATATTAAAATTGACAATCTACTTTTTACTACTTTTGTAATCTTTGAGAACAATATACGCACGATTTTTCAACGCGTGAAAAACGTTTTATTTTTCAATTATTCCGATTCATGATTAACAGATTATAATTCATTAAAAGCGCTTATCTATTTTCCAAGTTATGAAACTATAAAATTAGATTGATCTCAAACCTAAAAGAGTTTTTTTTTATTGTTTGAAAACTTTAACCTATAAATCTCAAAATACGTTCTGATGTGGCTTTTCGCTCTTCGGTAACGAAAAATTAACTTACACATATCGTCGAGTAAAAGAACTAGTAAGTTGCAACCCTAGACGTGACGTCACGCCAAATTCGTCACCTCTCACGTTGCAAGGCCGCTACGTTTGCGATGCTCTCGTCTCGTGAGCAGGTGTAAACACAGATTATGGTCATTTACCGTCCAACCGCATCGCTTGCGTCGAACGGAACGAAATAGTTGGCGCGCGATCACGTTCGAAAATCGAAATAAAAATCGCGAGCTTTATTGTTCGCTTTTTGAATTTTGAGTTTTTTTTGTTTCGTATAATTAGTTCTGAGTTTGTTTGAAGGAGTTTTGTGTTTCAATGTGTTTGCTTCGGACCTTTTTGATTGGATTTTTTAAAGATACAGATATTTTTTGCCGGTAAGTGTTAATATTTATTAATTTAAATAATAGAAATATTATATTTTTTATGCATTTAACTGCCGTGGTAGCAAAATGGTCAGGGCATCCGCCCGGATAGCGGAGGGTTGGGGTTCGAGTCCCGTCTGCTGCCTGGTCCGCGTGGACTTTTTTTAAGTAAAATTTTACTTAGATTTAAATACTAAAATTATTTCAGTTCACCAGTTTCCATTTAAAATCTTCGTAATATATTAACCTTCATTTAAGAAATTTATGTAATCTGATAGCTAAATTGATTATAATATCGATAAAGAATGATTGATTGAATCTACTCGGTGAATGATATTATCTTAATATATATAAATCTCGTGTCACAATGTTTGTCCTCAATGGACTCCTAAACCACTGAACCGATTATAATAAAATTCGCACACAATGTGCAGTTCGATCCAACTTGAGAGATAGGATAGTTTAAATCTCAAATTATAGTCGCAATTTTAATTTATTGCAAATTATTACTTTTGGGCGGTACGAAGTTCGCCGAGTCAGCTAGTAATATACTAAAATAAGTTTATGTGTCGTAACAATTTCCGACGGTAAATATTCACATTCGTCTAATTAATTCACAAAGTCAACATAACTAACTACTTTTTTGCGTTTAATGAGCGCGAAACGTTTCGTAATCTTCTTAGTAATTTTGCATAAATTTAACTTTATAAAAATAACTCATTTTTAAAGTGAAATTTTTATTGCTTAATTCTTACCAAATACATATTTTTATTTTGTACGAATTTAATTGATAGATGTTTAAATCTAAAGAAAAATGTGCTATGTCTTCTTTCAAATGTTTAATGCTTCTAAAGGTGTTCATTTGATATTGTGGGTTACCTACAAAGGATGGCGCTGCCTTGCAGCCTAGGAAATTTTAGAGAAAATTCGTCACGGCCATAAGGGCCGCGGCAGCATAATTGTCAAGGCATTCGCCCGGGTAGCGAAGGGTTCAGGTTCGAGTCCCGTCTGCTGCCTGATCCGCGTGGATTTTTTTCTAGTAAAATTTTCTTTAAATTATTATTTTTACTTATTAACGGTTGGAACGACGGCACCGCCTTCTGTTACGAAGGTCCTAAGTTGAATTCCGGAATTGGTGTGATCAGAACAAAACTGTTTATTTATTCGCGAATCGTGGTTAATTATTTAATTTTATACGTATTATAGCGAAGCTCGATGGCGCAGGTGGATAGAGCGTTCGGGCAGCGATCGTGGAAGTTAAGAAACTTTCTCAATGGTCGGTCATTGGATGGGTGACCAATACTTATTATCTCGAGTTTCTTTGTGCTTCGGAAGGCACGTTGAGCCGTTGGCCCCGGCTGCATCTGCAGTCGTTATCACCCACCAATCATGGCCCAATCTGCCTATTCCATCCATAGGAAAAGCATGTGCCCATCAGTGGGGACATTAATAGGCTAGTGATGATGATGATTCGTATTATAAAAGTTTATTGGTTTTCATAGCACAAGCGTGGTCGAGTAGTTTGTTTTCTTTATGTCGTATCTCAGACGGACGTTCCGGGTTCGATCACTAGATCTCAATTTCTGTATGCGAATCGTGTGTGTGTTCAATTAACTGAATTAAAATGACAGACTTTTTAATTTGTGTAAAGCTCGATAATCATGGTAGACATTTGTCATTAAATATAAACATAAACAAGTTGAAACAAAAGAGGTTGATAAAAAAAAACAATTTTAGTTATATTTTCTTTAGATTTAAACATCAAGCAGTTACATGATTAAAAAGTAAAAACAAAAATATATAAAAAATGGGTGCGTGTACTTATGTAGGCGCGTGAGAAGTTATCCTTCTTTGGCATCGTTTAAAATTAGTTTTTAATTGCATGCAAATAATTAATTACAATAAATTAATAAAAAGTCTGGAAAAGGACACAGTCAATAAAGTTCAGTTTTAATTTGAAAAAATAAATAAATAATCAAAATATTCAATTAAAATCACTACTGAATATAATTTATTAGAACATATGTGATTTGCACTTGTATGAAACTCAAACACGTATTCCGAATATACAAACTAGAAACATGTGGATAAATATTATAAACTAGCGGCCCGCCCTCGCTTCGCTTCGGTGTAGAGCTGAAGTGTAGACTACAGTTTTTGTTCTCAGGCTTGTATTATACACAATGACATTCATCTATGATTCTTCTTATACCTGCATGCAAAGTCTCAGCCCGATCGGTTTAAAATTGATAAAGTTTCATACAAACTTTCATTCCTTATTTTATCCCCTTGGGATTTTCTTTATATTTTTTTCCGTAAGAACCTTGTACAGAGTATTAGAAAACTACAAAAAAAAAAACAGCCAAATCGGTCAAGCCGTTTTCATGTTATGTCGTGACAACGGAAAACGGGTTTCATTTTTATATATATAGATATGAAAACAGTCTCTGTTCTAAATTCAAAACTCGTAAATTTTCCCGATGTTTGTTGCACGTGTTTCCCGCGTTAGGACCGCGAGTGGCCGCGCATGTGTACGGTGCGGCGGGCGACGCGGTAATGGCAGCGCGGTACATGAAGTTGGTCGCTAAAGCGACCAACTTCATGGTGTTAAAATTTAGTGTTACATGATGCGCGCGCATCTTAAAATTTCACTCTCATCAATTTTTCACAACGCGCCTAAAGAAGTATAACTTCAAAAAGAAAACAAGTTCGATAACTTATATTAATGGCTGAACGCACAAATCGTGCATGCCATAAAAAAAGAAAAAGAAGAATTTATATTAACGAAATAATGTACATCGATATTGTAGTTTGATTACACTCGATATAAAAATATAATAAAATATTAACTTATTATATTATTTTTCTCAACAATTGTATAACTAACAATATTGAACCGGTTTTAGAGACGGTAAAAGTAAATAACCATTGCTCTCACTCTTAATATAATATAATTGACATAATATGCAAATTTTTAAGCATTAATATTCATACAAAGACATATGAATCTTGAATTTGGCGTTTGCTTGTTTAATAACCTTTTTTTGATCTTTTCTTGGAATGTTTTGATATATACGTCGTATCCGTTTTTTTGTTGCAGAGCTTTTTGTAGATAATCACATTATGATAAAAAAAACACGGTGCATTTAATAGACAAAGTTTCTTGTAAACGGAAAGGTCAACAGTCATTTTTATATTCAAACCTGTGTCTCACAGTAAAAATACTGGCACAAAGCATTAATCTAATATATAAAATTCTCGTGTCGCGGTGTTTGTGGTTAAACTCCTCCGAAACGGCTTTCCCGATTCTCATGAAATTTTGGTGCATGTTGGGTAGGTTTGAGAATCGGACAACATCTATTTTTCATCCCCCTAAATGTTAAGGGTAATCCACCCCTAAATTTCTTTTTTCAATTTTAGATATTTTTTTTAATTTTTTTTATGATACATCATCCAAAAATACATATGTATCAAAAATACATATGTATCAGTTGAAAATTTAGGGATGTCCCTAAATTTTCAACTTTCTACCACCAACCTCTATTTTTTTTATGGCGGTACGAAGTTCGCTGGGTCAGCTAGTCTTATATATAAAATTCTCGTGTCACAATGTTGGTTACCATACTCCTCCGAAACGGCCTGACCGATTTTTATGAAATTTTATATGCATATTCTGTGGCTCTGAGAATCGGCTACTATCTATTTTTTATATCCATAAGTGGAAATGGTTCTCCACCTGTGTGTCCACGCAGTGTTCTGAAACCTACAATGCGCCTTCGTGCCAAAATTCAAACTATTGGGTATTGTAACGTAGTGTTCTCATATGGGTTAGGAGGAATGTTATCCCAGGAAATTGATAGAACACTACGTTACACACCCCTTAAATATTTTGGGACAATATTTATTGAAGTGAAACTTCTTCATCGGCGTTGGAAAAAAATTTACCGTCACATTTTTCGGTTACGCGTCACATTTTTCCGTTACGCGCCATCTTTTTTTATATTAATAGTTGATAGCTGAATGATCACACTGTCGCCGGCGAGAACTCTCTCTACTCGTTTGTAGCTGAGTGACAATAGTTATTAAAGATAAGACTCGCGCAGCCAAACTCGCATAGCGATACTCGTTCAGCAATGCTCGCTCAGCGATACTCGCTCAGCGATACTCGCTCAGCGATTCTCGCTCAGCGATACTCGCTCAGCGATACTAGCTCAGCGATACTCGCTCAGCTATACTCGCTCGGTTAAGCTGGCTTGGCTGTCAAAAGCCGTGCGCGTGCATTTTAACTCAGGACTGCCAATTCGTTTCTAGTTTCTACTCGCTTATCGTTCATCGTCGGAGGTGGAACATGTGCCTTAGATTACTGAGCCGTGTAATCATAACAGTTTCATAGGCAGTAATTTGTATTCATGTCTATGATAATAAAATCCTTTTGTTTAAACTTTATTTAATTTAACTTTATTTAACCAATTTCTGGAAAGTTGCATGTAGATCATTTTTCGAAAAATAAGGCCATAAAGAAGTTTCACTTCTTACGTGTGTACACTAGTACACGCACACATTTTTTTTTTATAATGTGATATTAAAAATAATTACAACCATAAATTTTCTCTTCTACCACCTGCCCGCCCCTATTTTTATTACGGAACGAAGTTCGCTGGGTCAGCTAGTAACAAATACAAAGGTAACACTTTATTATATGAAGAATATCTTGGACGATTAAGCTGATCTTCTTTTATTTTCTTGTTTGTTATAAAAAAGGAGGGACGAGGAGAAGTTCATGAACTTTCTTCTTAAAAATATACCTATTGGGTGACGTTCTTACGGAGTTAGAGAGGATGTTTGAAAGTTGTGAAAGGACATGGCTAAGAAATTGCCTTTATCGTTATGATTTTATTTATTTTTTAAGCATTTAACTGCTAGATGTTTAAATCTAAAGAAAAGTTTACTAGAAAAAAATCCACGCGGACCAGGCAGCGAGATAGTAAATTGTTGGTCACCCATTCAATGAC